AAAGAAATGGTTAATTCCATGTTGTCCTATTCAGGTTAAAGTGAAGGTTTCTCAGGTGAGGCTATGTTAAGTTCATGCTATATTCTTGGTTTAAGAATTAAACAAGGAAACAATGGGATTTCAATTTCTCAATCTCATTACATTGAGAAGATATTGAAGAAGTTTAACTTTGAGAATTGTTTTCCTTTTAGAACTCATATAAATCCTTGTCTTAAGCTTCTACCTTATACAGGACCTCCAATGTCTCAACTTGAATACTCAAGTGCTATTGGTTGTTTAATGTATGCCATGATTAGTACTAGGCATGATATAGCATATGTTATGGGAAGGCTTAATAGATATACTAATAATCCTAGTTCACATCAGTGGCAAGCTATGAGTAGAGTATTGAAGTATTTGAAAGGGCCATGAAATAAGGTTTAACTTATAGTAGATATCCTTCAGTTTTGGAAGGTTATTTAAATGCCGGCTGGATTAACAACTTAGTGGATCACTCCTATACACGTGTTTGAGTGTTTCTTCTCGTAGGAGGTTCCATTTCTTGGGCATCTAAGAAACAGACTTGTAGTACTAACTCAACCATGAAGTCTAAGTTTGTTACATTGTCTACAGCTGGTAAAGAAGATGAGTGGCTAAGGAATTTGATTTTTGAAATTCCATTATGGCCCAAACCGAAATCTACCATTTCTATCATATGTGATAGTGCTGCAACCTTGGATAAGGTTTATAGTCAAGTGTACAATGGAAAGTCTAAACATTTAGGTGTTAGATATAACATGATTCGTTAGCTCATTGTGACTGGTGTTATATCTATGGAGTTTGTAAGAACTCAATTGAATTTAGTCGATCATCTAACCAAAGGGTTACCAATAGATCTTGTGCACAATGCGGCTATAGGGATGGGTTTAAAGTCCACTTAAAATCTTTTATAGTAAAATACCCAATTCCCGTCTAATGTAATATTAGATGCTGAATTCAATGTGGAAAACTTGATATTTGAAGATTGGAACGCATTATTATCATCATCCCAAGGTATGTGTTAAGTACTACAAGATAATGAGATTGAAATTTTGTTTCTTAATAGTTCTTTGAAAAATTGAATTTGTAGGTGCAAGAACAAAAGAACTACCTATATAACCATGAAGTTTCACTGCTTGAAGAAGTTGGGACTTGACTTTGATATGCTTATTGAGGGATGGGACACAAGCTAGTAAAATGTAGTGTCAAGTTAGAACTTATGAGAATGTAAATTTTTTGTATGTATTATCTTCATGTATTCACTACAAATAGAAAGGGTTCAATCCTTACTGACACCCTGATATTCGAATATTTGGAATGAATAGTATACTAATGTGAAATTCAATCGTCACGACATTTCATTTATGCATCAGTTTGTTGTTTTTATGTTTTGTTTTAAGTTAATCAAGATTACACTTAAATAGGTGGGGCTTTGTTGGTGATTTCCTTCACTAATTATATTTAAGTGTAATGGGATGACTTGTTGTCAAAAAAAAATCTTGATGAATATTAAATAAGTAAGAGAGGTGCAGAGTACACACTTTTTTAAGTTTATTTAAGATTAAAAGTAGATTGTCATTTAGCGGTGACGCCCCGGACGGGGGGGTCCGGGGGTAGCACCCCTAGAAGTCGGGTCCAAGGGGCATAACCCCTGGCTAGGGTTGAAATTTTGAATATTTGACCCATTTTTTGCTTTGCATTAATCCTTATAGAAAACCCAGATTTATGACCGTTTTTTGCATGTTGGAAAACTTTTTTATGACAGTTTTCAGAAGGAAGAGGTATTTAACCAATTTTTTGTCAGTTTTTTTGCACTTACGAAATTGATACATCTCATTCTTTATTCTGAATCTCTTCTGAGTTTTATCCAATCAAAGATTAGGGAGTAGCACCGAAATACTTTGATTTGAAAGTGGAATCACAATTTTCAAAAAATCCAAGTGCCTTTATTACCCCGAAATTCTAACATGTGTGTGTGTGTGTGTGTATATATATATATATATATATATATATATATATATATATATATATATATATATATATATATATATATATACACACTACTTAATAACTAAAAATCCTTATGTGCCAAGTGTGCTATCTTTTCTCAGTGATTCTTATGATTACAAGTGTCATCCTTCCCTTTCATTCCCCTTTAATTTATTTAAAAATGTAATTATCAAAATATGTTATCATTTTTATATGGTTTTTTTTATTTTATTAAATTGAACATATCATTTAAATATAATAATTCTAATAAATATAATAATAAACGTATATGAATTTCATTAAGCAACTTTTCTATTATTTTCAAAATTCCTAAATTAAAGCCTAATTATTTTTTTGTTTATTTATTAAATTGCTTGTTCATATTTAAAAGAAAAATGAACGTTTCAATTTCAAATAATTCAATATTTTTCTCATTTTTCTTATAATTTCAAACTCGTATATATTTAGACCTTCATATTTATTTCTTATTTTTTTTAATAAACTTGTATAGTATACGAGTCTTAGAACTACTATGCGAAGACTTGTTCTTGTTTTGTCTTTTGGATATGCAAAGACCTAATACAAGTGATCAACTTTATCTGTCGTTGTGTGTTTGGTTCACTTTTTCATAACAGGGGTGACAAGCATGACCTCCAGTTCTCTTTACTTTTATATTGTCCAGATAATAGGAAGTACTCTTTCTTGCTATAGCTATGTGATCATGTTAGACGATCAAAAGTGTGTCTGAAACCTCTCTTCTTGTAATTGTCATTATATGAAAATACAAGTCTTCTTATCTTCATTTATACTTTGTTTTCCATCACTTTACTACCTTGTGTTTGTATGCAAACCCTATTACGATTCAACAAGTATTATGAACTTGCTTATATTTACTATTGTATTTTGTCGCTATGTTTCGATCTTAATTCTACAATCTTAACTAAAGATCCATGAGATTAACTTAGTATTCATCATCATAATCTCTTAAGTATAAGTTCTTCTCTCAACAACCATAGCAGTTGCATAGAAGACCATGGGAGGACAATGAAAACTGTGTGGAAGACTATGAGAGGACCATAGCATGAAACATTGTAGGAGGACCATAACATGAAACATTAGGGGAACTCATTAAGCTTTATGCTTACGGTTTTAAGTTTAAATGTTTTGGGTACTTCTTATAGCAAGGGGAAGAATCATACTTGATTGCATCGTATCTACCGATGATTTCCAAACTATCTGATTTATGTTTTACTCTGTTATTTTGAGAGTACATTTTACACTCTGACTATCTTTTGAAGAAATGAAATGATGGTTCTTTTTATTTAAAATGAAAAAAAATTAATCTATATTTTGGGATGTTACACGCAATGGCGATTCCAAGATTCAAACTTACATCTGTTCCATCAAATGAAGTGACTAAATGAACGAGTCAAATTTTTTGGTAATTGGATCAATTTGCCAAGGGGTGTTATTAGGTTCGGTTTATAGGCTTCCGGTTTAATCAGTTTGGTTTTCTCAGTTTTTTAGGATCTCTAAATTAACCATAACCAAACCAAATAACATTCAATTTAATCGATTTTTGTTTATTCAGATCGAGTTACCGGTTAAACTAAATAAAAACAACGAGATCATTATGTGTATACATATTAACGAGAACATTAAAAGAACTAAATCAAATAAATTAATAACCATAAAACCTTTATGTATTAATGAAAAACACCTTAACGATTAAATATATAAAAAAGATATAACATAGCATAGTGGTGTTCTTAATACTATTAAACATATAACAAAGATATTAACATAGAAAAGTCAGATTCTTAATACACATGTATTCATTTGATTCACGCAAACATATTTATTCGGTTAACCAAACCAAATAAATCGAAAAGGAACAACTCAAAGAAATTAAACCATACGTCATTCATCATTCAGCTCGATTCAGTTTCTCGGTTTTAGTTTTTTTACACCCCTACCTATGTCACATATTAGTCAACTATTTATGATCCTATATGTAAATTAAACAAAAACTAACATAAACTTAAAAATGAAGTTATACTTTCATTAACAAATTAATTAAATCAATATTGTTTTACACTGAGAAGCACATTATAGACTAACTGTTTAGACATAAACATCATCAGCGATTTAACAACTTCTACAACACAGGTCCACGAAACAAAAATTAATCTAAACCCTAAAAGAGAGAAAGCTTTTTAACAAAAAGTAAATCAAGAGTGCAGGAGAAGCAACAAAACAACTCGCAACTCTGCGGTTGTTGTTGTCCGGTCGTCGAATGATAAAGACATATACGATGCGAGCAACAAACAGTGGTGGGAGTTAGGAGATGACTAAAAAAGTGATCCCAAGAAGTGTCGAGAACATATTGGAAGCATCAAAGATCAGAGACAACCAGAATTGTGATCGTCGGTGACACCACATAATCAATGATTGATGGCCGACACCGATTCGAAATTGAAAAGAAGAAGGTACTCAGGCAATAGGTGTCCGACCAAAATTGTAAATTTTATTCTAAATTTTGGTTTTTTTGGTTAAACCATTTTCTCCTTCATAGTTAGGGTATCCACAATGCATTACCACATCATCATTCACTATTCCATACAACTTTGTTCATTTTTATCATACAATGCATTAAAACTCTACAAGTTCAATGGAACATATTAAAAAAATATTTATTTATTTAATAGCTAAAAAATATTTATTTATTTAATAGCTAAACATACATTAATAAAAAAATGAAAAATGCATTTATTATAAAAATAAAGAAATACAATAACTAAACTTCAAATACCTACAAAATATAATAATTAAAAAATATTGTATTCTATTTTTATCTCCTCACAACATTCGTCTAATATTTTGTCCCTCCTATGACATGGTGCTCTAGTCCAAAAAGAAGATTGACATCTAGTCATGTTTGATTTTTTTCTTGTGTTAAAGGGTTTTTTAAATCTAAAGATTTTTGATAGCGTTCATAGTTTTTTTTTATCATGCAGATGTTTTTCAAGTATTTCATCAAGTCGACTACATGATGACGAGGTGAACTTGGAAACTTGACCTTTTATAGCCTTTTTGGCTGCCTTCGTACCAATTGGACGAGTTGTATCTTCGTTATCATCCAAGTTGATAACGTATTGTACATTAGATGAAGATCTAGATGCCTCAAATGTAGTGCTCACGAATTTCCATTTGAGTTTATATTTGAACAAATTCCAAATGTGATCATGACTGAAATTTGTAGAATATCTTGCACTATCATGATGAAAAACTCCGTTTTTTAAATCTTCATCAGACAATCTGCTTAAGTGTTGACTTTTCAACACTAAATAAATTTGATTGATTGCAACTCCTAGTGGGTTCATGTAATGTGAATGTGTATTTAGATTTGTTTGAGCTGTTATAGTGCTAGTCGTGTTGGAACTTTGGTAGTACGTGTTGATACGTTGCCAAAACTCCTTGTCACGTTGTGTTGTGCCCTTGATGCTATCTTCTGTAACCAAGATTTTGCAAGAAAATATTTGATGCTTTTGGTATAAAAGGTCTTTCCCCATTACAAAAATGCATGACCGCCATACAGCAGATAGCATATGGCACATCAGCTAATATTTTTGATGAATACTTACGAATTGGTGAAACAACATCAATCAAATATCTACATAAATTTTGTAGATGTTAAATTGAGGTTTATTCAAACCATTACATAAGAAAACCTAATGCTAATAATATCCAAAAAATATTACAAAAACATTCGGAAAACCATGGATTTCATAGAATGTTAGGAAGTAATGATTATATGCATTGGCCTTGGAAAAATTGTCCCGTTGCATGGCAATGTCAGTTTACTCGGGGTGATCAAGCATGTCCAGTAATTATGCTAGAAGCAGTTGCATCATAAGACCTTTGGATATCACATGTGTATTTTGGGGGTAGCATGATCTAATAATGATATGAATGTAATCAATTAGTCACCGTGATTGTATGACATATTACAAGGGTATGCTCCAGAATGCATATTCACAGTGAATGAAATTACATACAATAAAGGATATTATCTTTCAAATGGTATATATGCCTAATGGGCTACTATAGTTAAAAGTTTTTCACATCCGGTTGACCCAAAGAGGACAAAATTCAAAGAAATCCAAGAGGGTGAAAGAAAGGATGTCGAAAAAGCTTTTGGTGTTCTTCAATCTCTTTGAACAATTGTACGAGGACCAACAAGATCTTGCCAACACAAGAATATAAAAGATATAGTTTTATGCATGCATTATATTACATAATATGATCGTAGAGGACGAAGAAAACATGATTAGTAATTGGTCGGATGATGTTGATCCTCCAATACATGTATATCGAGGACCAACCCAGGAAATTCAATATCAAATATTAAGAAACACTGAACTACGTGATAGTGAAGTGCATCTTGCACTTCGACATGATTTAATGGAACATATTTGGGAACATTTTTTACAAGACAACGATCAAAATTAATATGTAATTTTATCAAGTTTGAGTCGTATAATATATTAGTATTATATTTTAGAATGAATTAAACTAGAAACAATAATATATATATATATATATATATATATATATATATATATATATTATGTTTTTATAATGTCATATAATTGTTTTTTTTTATTGTTTGTTCATAAAAAATCATGTGGCCCATTTTCTTAATGTAATTAATTATCTATTTTTGCTTAATTTTACGTAGGCCTGATGAAAATACCCAATACCTAATTATCTGACCTGATCCGTTTAGAATTCGGGTAGATCGGGTCGGGTAAATCGGGTTTCGGGTTTGAAAATTTGGGTAATCGGGTAACCCGATATTTAAATAGGTCGGGTATTGGGTAGGTTTAAAAAAATTCAGGTATACCCGAATACCCGATTTAAAAAAAACTAATTAATACACTAGTTATAATAACTATTAAAGTTGTATCATTATTTTACATAATTATTGTTCTTTATAGTTTAAACCTAATATTATATGGCTTCATTATTTGAACGGTATATAGTAAATACAAAAGAAATTATTGAAAATAAAATAAAGTTTTGAATAGAATGTTACAACAAATATAATGAAAATGAATGAGATGTTAGATTCCCTTTTATTTTCTTTGTGCACTACGGATCCGTTTCTTTTTTTCAACTATGCACATGTTTCTTTTTTGTCATTTCTTCTTTATGAATTGAAATATAGCTATATAATTGGTCACTGCAATTTAGATAACATGCTAATTTTTTTATTTATAACTTTTATGTACTCACATTTTGTATTAAATCATGTTACATGTTTGGTTAATCCAAATTTGATCAAACACTGATCATATACTCAATAAATTGTTTTTTTTATCAAAATTTGAAATAGAATGCAAAAATCACATAACATATTATGATGATTTGTATTATTATCGTATATGTACTTGTTAATTGTATGAAATATTTTGTTATCCATTTTTTTATTAAAGCAACCGAAATGAAAAAAAGAATTAAAAAAAATCAATAAGTGACACTTAACTAATTTTCGGGTATACCCGAAAATACCCGACCCATCCTAAAACCCGAATACCCGAAACCCAAGAACCCGAATTACAATATAGGTCAGGTATTATTATTTAAGGAAATACCCGAACTACCCGATCCGTTCTACCCGAAACCCGAAAATTTTACCCGATCAACACCCCTATTTTTATGCATTGACTCAGTTTTATTCTAAAACTTTTTTAAAGATTTAAAGACTTTTATTTTTTTTCCATTGAAGAGTTCAATTGACATTACATTTCATAATAACGGAGTTGTATCTAATGAATGACAACTAGGCATGCCACCTAGTTTAACTCTTCTATTAAACTTCCGGGTATGGATGCTATTATAGAACTTTGAAAGATTCTTTGTTATTGTATTTATAGAAAATATATTGTTTAATTAACTACATAGTAAAATTTTGCTCATAAATTGTTTACAAGTTCTAATGATCAAATTTATGTATTATCTTTTCTTCTTCACCTACATTCAAAGGGTGTTCGGTTTGTTTTCCAGCATGTGTCCCTTAAAATTTATCATATATCTTGTAAATAAAATTTTAAATTCAAGGGTGTCCATGGACACCTTTTGTATATCATATATCTTGCATATAAAATTTTAAATCTAGACGTGTCCATGGACACCGTTTGTATAAGTAAGGGCGGAGCTAGGATTTAAGAATAAGGGTGTTGACGTCGTAAAAATATATTCAAGTATATCTTATATCAAAATAATGTGAAAGAGTCTACAATCTTGAAAGAGAAAATGACTAAAAATTCTTTTAAGTAGACGTTATACCGATCATTGCACAATTGACATTTTGAAAAAATTTCAACTAACAGTAAACATTGATATATAATTCTCCATTAACATACTAATATTAAAAGTTATCTTAATTATAGATACATATGTTTCATTATATACTCTATCATTATCGATATAAGAAACAAAATACCATTTACAATAATATAGTTAATGGAAATTAAAAAATTATTGAATACAAAGAAAATTTAAAAACACATCTTGTTCTTTAAATAAATAGAGAAGATATTTTAAGTGAAACCAATTTTATACAATGAAATTTATCTTATTAATTAAGGTATAGCACTTTTATATATATATATATATATATATATATATATATATATATATATATATATATATATATATATATATATATATATATATATATATATATATATATATATATGGGTAAAGTGAATATACCTAACAACCTTATATAAGCTTAGGTACCTAACCACATCATACTATGTAATTTTGTATCATACTTGCATTGTAATCACCCAAAGTGAATAAAATTCAACCTCATAACTTGATTGCTTCCAAAATCTTTGGACTTTCACCATTAGCTTCCTTCAAATGACGTCTTTCTATCGGAAACCCCCTGGTGGGCTTTATATACTACCATTACAAATCAAATGGTGTAGGAAGAATATAATGGTGAATATATGAAAATCTTGGAAGTAAATCAAGTTAAGGATTAAAGTTTAAGAACCTTAGATGATTGCAATGGAAATATAATGCAAAACAATATAGTATAATGTGGTTAGGTCCCTAAGCTTATATAAGGTTGTTAGGTATATTCACTTTACCCTATATATATATATATATATATATATATATATATATATATATATATATATATATATATATATATATATATATATATATATATATATATATATATATGGCAGAAAGTTTGGAACTTGAAGTTAATATAAACCAGTGAAGCACGCTATTTGTTTAATCTAAAAATAATCAGCATAACTGTAGTAAGTGTCGATACACTAACAATAAACTTAAAATGGAGTGTAAACAGTTTTGATTATGTTTTTCTATCGAATTTAAGATGTTTGCATAGTTTTGATATTTTGCATATCTGTCCTAGTTCTTGGTACCAATATTCTACAAGAAACTTATGGTTCGGTTATCATGAATGAGTAGTTATTTGTTCGTATTGAAGGTAAAACGTAAAAGAAATTGATGTCATAGTTTTCCAGGAAAAAATACACTTTGTCATGCACAGTATATATAAGAAAGTTGGCAAAACTAAGTTGATGCAATTGAACACATGTTACCTGTTGCTATTGATGTCGTGAAGTGAACACTTTGACTCTTGTTTAGCACCTTAGCATTACCATCTTCTTTAGACAGGGTAAGAAATCCACTGTGATCCAGCAGAGGTACATCACGGTTAGCTACCCAAATAACTGTCTTGGGATCCATAGTAAACCACACTCCCAGATACCGTGGTACTTCTGTTGTCTCCTTAGGGGAAAAGAAACCCATTTGAAATATCTTGTTCTCAGACTCTAAACAAGATGAACCATCATCATTCAAGAATTCCCCTCCGATTATGCTGTCTTTGGCATAACAACAGTAGCAATATAGAAACACAAACGATAAAAATATGGAGATGATTTTGGTTGTTTTGGTATTAGTGGATGATAATATCATGATTACTGTTTCGGAATATACACTTAATCTGATTAATGGAGATGGGATAGTGGGGGATATCGTGCTTCTGCATGTATATGAATGATAAGGTATCCTATTTATATGTGCCCAAGTCTACTACAAGGGGGGCTTACATTATTTCAGTACTGTTAGTTAATTTTCATTGCATATATATATTTTTCACCAATTTTGTATAAAAAGTTTGCGATTTTTTCAAAAAAAAAATTTTTAAAAAGTTTTGTGATATCTATGCATTTTTTTTTTAGGGTTTAAGTATTTTTGGTCACTTAACTTTTGGTTTTGTGCTCATTTGATCACTTAACTATTTTTAAGTTTTAAAAAGGTCATCAAATTTTTGACTTTGTATTCATTTAGTCACTTAACTTTTGTTTTGGTCACTTAACTTTTAGATTTTTGCTCATTTAATCACCTAACTTTTAAAATTGTGCTCATTTAGTCACTAAAATTTAAATAATTAGTGACTAAATGGGCACACTTTTAAAAGTTAGGTGACTAAATGTGACCAAAACAAAAGTTAAATGACTAAATGAGCACAAAGCCAAAATTTTGATGACCTTTTAAAACTTAAAAAGAGTTAAGTGACCAAATTAGCACAAAATCAAAAGTTGAGTGACAAAAAATGACCTAAACCCTTTTTTTATGCATTTTTATGATTTTTAGGGTTTTTTTGTTTTCCAAATAACACTTCGTAATTAAATTCGAAATATATTTATTATGGAGATTATTAATGAATTTTACATTTAATTATAGTAATCTTTCTTGTAATTAATATATTTTACAATTAATTATGGTAATATTTATCATCAATTAATGTTTTTTATATTTGAACTTAGGCACATATTAGAATATATATATATATATATATATATATATATATATATATATATATATATATATATATATATATATATATATATATATATATATATATAAGGAAACGTGAATATACCCTTAAGGATATATAAGCTTAGGTACCCAAACTTATAATAATACTTCATTTTGTTTGATATATTCATTATAATATTGTTAAACTTTAATCCTTACCATTATTTATATTCAATATTTTTAAATTTTCACTATTATCTTCTTCTTACATCACATCTTTTTGTCGAACACTTACTAGACTATATATATTATTATTGAAAATGACAATTATGTAAGAGGAAGATAAATATGAAATTTATAAAAATCTTTGAAGTAATCCAAGTTAGAAGTTGAATTATAAGAACATTGGATAATTACAATGTCTATATATGATACAAACGATGTAGTATGGTGACTTTGGGTACCTAAGCTTATATACCCTTAAGGGTATATTCACTTTTTATTTTGACTTCTTGCTTATCTTCATTATCAGTAAGCTACAATCTTGGACCACATAAGATTTCAGAAGTTATGAAAAATCAAATAAATCATTAATTTCTATTATTAATTCTTTTGTACCACAACATTGGCCATGTTTTTTTTAAATAAGAAATAAATTCTAAAAATAATTACATATTATCCAAAAAATTGAAAATTGCTACACTTTATGTTACCCAGAATTATTTTTCATGAAAATTCTATTCTCAATTTTTTTTTACTTATTACATCATATTAATAAAGAGTTAAGTATTTTTACAACAATGTTAAATAATGCTTTTCACATATATCATACTTCAAAAGTATTACATAAATCTAATACTTAAAGAATCATTCATTCTTATACTACATTGTAAAGGCATCTAATTCTTAAAAATTGTTAATGTATAAAGTGAAGGTGATATATACAGTTTCACAGGGATATAACAATTTCTATAAAAAAGGCTATTTATACATGTAACATTTTTTTTAAGAATGAGATACAAGTAGCATTGTTTTAAAAAAAAATGGTATAAGTATTAGGGGTGTTCTGTGTTCACGGTCTGGTTTTTCTGTTTTTAGGTCAAATTGAAGCCAAACCGTTAGTAACGGTTTTTGTCAAACAAAAACAGAAGTTGAACCGACGATAATTTTAAACCGAACCAAACCAAACCGTTACAAACGGTTTGGCTCTGGTTTAGTTTCACAGTTTGGGCTTTTTAGGCCCATTTTAGTCGAATCCATTAGACTAATTTAGTAATAAAAACATCACTATTAAACTATTAAAAATGCACTAATTTTAGCCGAGTCCATTGAACAACTGCTGCATCTTCAAATGCAGCATATTTTCATCCTTAATAGCTTTATATAACAATTCTACAACAATTTGGCCTCTTGATTTTTCAATTTGGACATCATTTAGATCCTTGTTTTTTAGGAGATCAAGTGTCACATCTTTGGCTCATCAGGTACAATTTCCTTCAAGGGTACAACATTCATCCCCATCTTGTCATGTTTCCCAACCTGAAAATAGGTCAAACAAAGTCAATGTACTTTTTGTGATTTGTTTATTCAAATAAAAGCCAAAATGGATTAAAATAAATGATCCGTTCCCAAGCATAAACTTGGAATTCTACAGCTTGTGATTCGGGATCTTTAACGATCATGTTGGATCTTTAACGACCATGTTGAATTCCACATTCCATTCAGGATTCAAATTCTTATGTTTCACAGTTGTCTTCTTTGATGGAAGCTTACTTTCTATAAGCTTTATTTTCACATAAGGATCAGAAGCACGTAAAAGGTCTTTCTTTTTCAACTTCATTTCCATCTAAACCTTCACATGAAGTATTCCTATATGCTTCTTGATGCGAATTAAGGGCTTTGATTTGGCATGCGGGATTAAAATGACCACAAAGAACACGATGATTTGGGTGTCTATGATATGTATTTGATCATGAAAGGTGTTAAAAAAAGTATAAACTAGATCTAGACAAATAAACAACTCACATTAACACTCTCAATGTTACATCTTACAAGCACACCTCAACAAGTGGTATGCAACCCACTATATATAGAGGTGTTTACATCTCTCTCTCTCTCTCTCTATCTCTCATATCATAAGGCCTCACTACCACATGCAAGTGTGTCTACAAGAGTCAAACCATTAGAAAATCATTCATGCATTACTTTGCACCCCCAACATTCTCCCCCTAAAAGTTAGGAATGGATGACTGTCACACCCCCAAACCAAGGATGGCGGAAACGTTCGGGGGTGGAGGACTTCATGTACAGTATCACAACAACGTGTATAATAGTGCTCAAAGTAAAAACAACCACCATATATATAATTGCAAAAGTTACACCAAAGTATATGTTTACATGTTTCAAAAGCAATTACATTATGATGACAAAATAAATTGTTGACGGTGTAACGACCAAAATTTCGAAACAATTAAAACTTTTCAAAACAACCCATTTTAATAACGTTGTTACAAAAAGGTTTTCAATACATTATTTAACAGAGTATTTTCCCAGGTCCATTTCATAAAACACCAACGCGAGGAACGGTACGATCACACCCTTGCCTTGCACAGACTCCTGAGAACCTGAAAACAAAAAAACCACAACTGTAAGCCCGAAAGCTTAGTGAGATACCCCCAAAATACCAACCACATATACGCCCTTCCAGGCCACAACCTTCCGGTCCAAAAGATATCGCCTTCCGGCCCATAGCGTAATGCCTTCCGGCCCATAACACATTGCCTTCCGGAACATAACATATTGCCTTCCGGCCCATAACATATCGCCTTCCGGCCCGCAACGTAAAAGCATATATATATATATATATATATATATATATATATATATATATATATATATATATATATATATATATACACAGACACATGTATTATGACAGAACATAGAACAACCATGCATACCGGGTTACACTCCAGACCAGACAACTATACACATAACATGTAATCATATAACAGTTCACAGTTAGCAATTCGATCAACAGATCACATAACATATCATTACCCTAACCAAGATACCAGCCTAGCCGATCACTAGCATAACATCACCCTACGACTCAGCCAACATAATAACTATGCACATACGCCTTTCCAGGCCATGACCTTCCGGTCCACATCGCATTGCCTTCCGGCCCACAACATGTAATGCCTTCCGGCCCATAACGTAACACCTTCCGGCCCATATCCGCAATATCATACAACAACAATTACCCGGATTTCCATCTGATAAAAGGGTCGGCCTTGGTGCCTTAAACCCTATAGATATAGTGAGGATAACTCACCTCGAAACTGCCGACTGAACAGATAACCCAAGCTGCTCCGATCCCTGATACGATCTCCACCACTGGACAGCCACCAATGCACTGAACTCAAAACCATAATCAACAATTACCAAAATACCCCTGGAAACCACTGGTTAACCCTTGGTCAATTACTAGGTCAAAGTCAACCCCTGACTGACCCTACTCGCCGAGTCAACCCTATGACTCGCCGAGTTCCCATACTCAAAACTTCACTCAATCCGCGACCTAACTCGCCGAGTCGCCCCGAGACTCGCCGAGTCCAACAACTCTGAGTCCACTCGCACACAACTCACCGAGTCATCCCTTGACTCGCCGGTTCTCGACTCAACTAGAAAATATTTGGACTCTTCGACAAGACTCGCTGAGTCCAAGAACAGACTCGCCGAGTCTAAGGCTATCTTCAACCTACTCGCCGAGTTGTTCATCCAACTCGTCGAGTTCCAGCTCATCTTCAAGCAACTCGTCGAGTCCACCCATGTGACTCGCCGAGTACCACCGGTCTGCATCCAAACAGAAGCGTTCCAGACCATGCAATTGATCCAAAACATAGATCTAGCCTCCTACAACTCATCCATCACGTAAAGTGGCAATCTTTACGTGAATCCAAAGAGATCTATGCATTTTGCACATTAGGGCTAAGGTTTGGGACAAGATAGCTTCATCCAACACTCAACACAGGGACTTTCCTGCATTCCAACTCTCCTCCATTCCAGATCTGAGGTAGCAACCTCAGATCTAACCTCTAGATTCCAATATCACCCAAGATAAGCTTCCCTCAAACCCCAAAATGAATAAA